CATTAAATAGCTGTAATGCCAAATAGAAAATTACCGTAAAAAAGGAAAAAGAATGCTACAAAAATGTTTAAATTCATGATCAAAAGCAAGTGTTTTAAAAAATAAATGTTTTGAACAGAGATGCAGAAATCAATTTTGCGGCCCACTGTGGGCGCTGCGTGTTGACATCACTGTTTCACTACAGCTCCGCCTCCGCACTCTGCTGATGCTCATCCTGCACTTGCATCAGCACCATTTCTGGCATCCTCATTAGGCGCACACACGCAGAGAGAGAGAGAGAGAGAGAGAGAGAGAGAGAGAGAGAGAGAGAGAGAGAGAGAGAGACTACCCCATCACAGGAGCTGAGGGGCGTGAGACTGTCGTTCCAGCACCCAGAACAGACTGCACACAGTCCAGAGGCCCAACGATCACACTGCTACAGAACCAGCTGAAGAGTAAGCCGCAGGAAAAAAACACAGCCAGCCTACTCTTAGTGATGGAGAGCCTGCTGGATAATCCAATGAAAGCCGTTCTGTACCTGAAGGAACTCACCACCATCGTCCAGAACCAGCAGAGCCTGATCCAGACGCAGCGCCAACGCATCGACGAGCTCGAGCGAAAGGTGGAGGATCTGATCGGGGAGAACCGACAGCTGCGGGACCCCCATCTCTACGTCCAGCAGCCCTCTCAGCATCATCAGCACCATCAACACCACCATCACCACCCGACGCACCGGAGCGTCAGTCCCCAAGCGCCGGCCCACCTCCATCAGCACCCGGTGAGCGCCACCAAGACTGCGTCTCACCTCGGCCAGCAGCTGCCGCCGCCTCAGCAGCAGCCTGCTGCTCAGCAACAGCAAATCCTCCATCCTGCAGCCCAACCTCAGCAGCAGCAGCATCCAACTCCTCCTGCGCCGTCTTCCCACCACCCTCAGCAGCTGCAGCTCGTCCCCACCTCGCCGCAGTCGCCCAAAGTGAAAGCCGGCTCCGAGTCCACCGAGGAGGACAAGAGGAGCGCCTGCTGCAAGTCTCTGGTTCCACAGACTCCAAGCACTCTGTGTCGCTCCGTTGGATTGGCCAGGAAAGCAGAGTAAGTGCTTTTTGTGTCTTATTTAAGGGAAATGTTTGTTCTATACTGATGCGCACGCATACCTGATTTTTCAGAGTAAATCCCCCTAAACTGAGCACAGCAGGTGACATAACATCAATGCAGTGCAAGACTCATAATACAAAAAATGGGTTTCCTGACCCAAAAAGCCTGCTTCTAATTTTTTTTTTCTTCGTTATACAGCTTGATGATATCTAAAACATTCAGTTAAGGCATCCTTTAAACTATTATGTGAAGGTATACATTTTGAGCACATAAAAAAGCTGGTTATGTGCAGAATATAATAAAGTTGTAGGTTTGCAATAAAATTGTTTTTTTTCTACCTTTTAATCACAAAACCTAATTTTCTCAAACGTCTTTATGGAAACTTAAATAATGCACAATACTAATTGTGAAATCTAACACAAAGTATTTACAAGTGAATTATAAATTTAGAAAAAAAAGGAATAAAAAGTCAATAAGACTGCTCCTCTTATTGATTTGGTATAAAGAACAGTTTTCTTAAGCCCTCCTTTCTCTGAGAGCACAACACTGGACTAGAAATTATTTGAAGTCCAATTCATCTCTCATGCAGCTGTTTAGCCAATAGTTTTGCAGGTGATCAAAGAAATAGATAACATTGCGAGCAGACTTCTGCAAAAATAGTGTTGTACCGATAACAGTATCAGACCCTGATACTGTACTAAAATGGTGGTATCGGTATCGGCGAGTTCCAAAAAAAAGGGCACAAATACCATTTTGAGAGCCAAAAGTTTATTCAACTATTGTCACCCATTCCAGGTAGGCAATAAAAAGTTCTAATGGATTCACTTTGTATTAGTCTTTTTCCTGCTTCACAAAGGTAGGCAGAAGCTTGACAAGCCATGATGGCAATTATTTTACATCTGAGTAGTATGCAGTTCTTTATATATACACACACACACATTCATTTCTAACAGATGGTATCGGTATGGTATTGGCCAATACTGCAAAGCCAGGTATCGGGTATCTGTATTGGGGCCAAAAAATGGCATTGGCGCAACACTGGCGTTTAATAATCTGTATTGTACAGACTGCAGTGACTTATACCTCATTAGGAGAAAGACATTTTCCAGAGAAACTGTAAGTGCCTAACAGGAATGAAAGCTCAGACAGAAATACATTAGTTGTTAATGTGTTCCCTCAGAACCTAGTCAGAACTACTAAACATGCAATGAGTTTAAATGCACTTTCTGTCATCATTATGCGCTCATTTTTACCCAAAGTAAAATGCCAAACATCACAGGGTCAGCTTATTTACTGCAGGAAGCAATATAGACAAACCAATTAACTACAAAAAATGCTTAGAAAAGAAGCACTCAAGGAAAACTAAGAGAATCCTTTAATATTATGTTGTTAGATCCCCATCCTTACATAAAATCTAGTTGCTCTAAATCATGCATTCAAAAATTAATACAATAATGTAGATCCACACCATCCTGCATAGTGAAATAGATTTAATGTTTACTGCTGCTAATCAAAATATGCATGCTTTTTTTAATCTGATCAGATTGTGCTTTTCTAAACATTAAGCTAAGCAGGATTTTTGATTGCTGTGTGTGTGCTTCAGAATTATCCATGCTGCAGAATGTTCTTTGCCTCCATCAAGGTCATATGAATTGCCTCAGCCAGAGCCACAAACCCACACTCACCAACATCACGCTGTGCTCCGAGCCACATCTGTTTCACTCAGCCACATTTCTATTGTTTCCGGTAATCCACCTTGATTTATTGTTATTGAATTGAATTTCTAAAGAGCAAGGGTCAGAAATAGGACACATAAGCAAGATTAGTAGGGTGATAGAAAAAAAAAGGTGCTACTGGTGCGGTGCAAAATAAATGTCAGAAAGGGGATTCTCTACATTTTTTTTCCTACAAAATGCAACTTGACAGCTCTTGTGGATGATGAACAATATGACAGAGAGATGAGAGAAGTGAAAACGTCCCACAGAGCATTGCATAAATATAAAAGCAGTGGGACATGAAATCCAGGAGATGCGATGAAGCTTTATCATTTCCACATAAAGCACTGATCCCGTTATGACAAGATAGTAAGTCACTGCTGACTGGAAGTAATGCTTTTTACTTCTGTTGCGGTGGTGGGGACACAATATAAGCTCACTAATCAGGCATGTGTTCTATTGCGTTTACCATGGCAACAAAGTTGTTGCATTCTCACTTCATTGGAGAATCACCACAGTGAGGATCTCATTTTAATGGTATGTAAGCTGGTTCACACAGTTCTGCCTCTGTTCAGTATAACAGCAAATAAAAACAAACAAGTAATTTTTATATAAAAAAGTTTTTAATGGTAGTGTGTTAATTTGAACCCTTCTTGTAAACTATACTTTTGTGGTGAATACATGACAGTACATCTTGACCCGTTCCCTTTTCAACAATTTCAGACCGACCTAAAACATATCAGTCAATCATGTTGATGCATTATAGTTCAATGCAGGACATAAAGCTGCAGGACACATTGCTACTGCTCTCATCTGTTTTGTCAGAAGCTAGGATTTCCTCTTTGATAAGCACAAGTTTCTGTGGTTTCTCATGGTGTCTGCTGCTATTTCATTTGCTACTGAGATTGGCTCCAATTTAACTTTGGTAGGTGGGCACTAGCTGTTGCTTCGCCCAATCAAGAAGATTCTGCTGAGCTTCCTGCCTTTCCCCGAACAGATTTGATCAGAGTACTCTGAGATTATCAATCTGGCTTCCTCAATGTTACATTTTCTTTGTTAACTCTTTTCCTTTATTTTACATGGATAATGGATCTCGAATTGTTTTACACAAAGCTATAAAGTAAGTTGTCATCTGAAAGAAAATGCATAATAAACTTGTGCTGTGTCACATAGTTTGTAATATTTGGTGCCTATGAGCTATTTTACTCTGTATATGTTCCATAATAATCTCTAATTGCTATATATTTGGTACAAAAGAGTATACAGGTTTTCATACTGATGTTTTCTTTCTTTCTTTAGACTCACCTCTTGCTGCTTCAATAAGCTGATCATAATTTGTTTCAGATTAATAAACTTTTGTTATGAGAAAAAAAACAACCAAAAAAAACAACAACACAATCTTATTCAATAACATTATAATTTATCGAAGCACATGTAAAGAAAAAAGTGATGTATTTGCACTTTTACAGTTTGCTTCTTTTGGTTGTTTTTAAATTGGAGGTCTTCAACAGGGGGTCCGCGAACCCTAGGGGATCCTCACAGGGGGTTGATTAGACTTTTTTTTTTTATATTGCCTCTGCAGTTTTTACCACTAAATGAAATGTCTTCAAATACACATTAACATGAATTCAACACACTGTAAAAAACAACAACAGATAAATGGAGGCAGAAGATGTCTTTCAGCCATGAAAAACGATGAAGACCCCTGTTTTAAATCATAAATCACATTTACTATATCAGGCAGATAACAGTCTAAGCCAATGTAAGCTAAGCAAAAGTAGCTAGCCTTTTCCCCTTTGTAAATAATAATAATAATATATAATTTACCTCTGCATTTAACCCATCCCCTTAGAAGACAGATGGCTGCCATTGTGCGGCGCCAAGGGAGCAATAAATTAAGTGTTTTTCAACACAGGAAATTTTTAGAAATGTGAGTTCAATATCTCTTGCTAAGCAAAATAATTGCTAACTTCCAGATGTTTACAAAAAGGAAGAAAACACTTAAATAAAACCTGTAAGACAACAAGATGAAATCAGAAAAGTCTTAAGAGAGCAACACAGCTAACACCTATTTTAAGAATTCAACGAAATATAGAATATAATTGAATGAATGTTGTTCAGATAAAAAAAGCATGGAAGAGTAGGCTCTAATGTTAGGAAAGTATTTACCAACTTGTATACTGAACATTTTATGAAATTATTGCAACGGTTACCACAGGACCTCCAGAACTAATGCAGTACTGCAATTCTCTTGACCGATTATTGTAGTTTAAATAATAATTATTCCTCCAAAATGTATAATTCTCTTTCAATACATCCCCCTATACAATAAAAGCTTTTTCCAGGACATTGACAAAATTATTAGTAAAATTTATTTGGAGCAAGGATACGAAAATCAGAACTACATCGTCTAAAACCTTATGGAGGGAGGGGCCTTCCTGGTCTGATATTAACTTGTAATGTTAGAATTGCAGCTTATTGGTTACAACAATGCTGTCCTGCCTGGGTGGAGATGAAAATAAAAAGTTCCCTTCCCTCCCCCTCCATCCAAATTGCTTTTATCACCATTAATAACAGGAAGCTTCAGGCCTTTCAAAAACCCCATAGTATTACACAACTACAAGATTCAGTATCAGATACAGAAAAAAGACTTTGGTTGGCATTCCGGGTCCCTTACAAGCCCCAATTAAGAACCATAAAATTGCTCTATCACTTAACAACTGAGTTTTTGCCTAAATTGTAGGCATTAATACTGTATAGTACATTGAAGGATTGGTTTTTCAATAAGACATTTCCTTGATCTGCACAGCTTTTAGAAAAAGTATCACCTAAATCATTTTTTAGAAAAACCTACAGGTTAATAATTTGTGCAAAGGAATAAACCACCATAACCTTGTGCTGGAAGCTGGATTTTCACAAGATCTGAGTTTGAAAGACTCCCGCTAATACATCCATCCAGTTAAAACCAGCAAGTCGGACCAGTGACATGCCAGCAGGGTTTTTTGGGAAAGGACATGTAGGATGATACTAACCTTGTGCTGCAAGCCTTTAGTGCACAGGTTTGTCTTGCAAATTCTACAAAAATCATTGCACAATGACTTCCATAAACACCCAACAATGGTTTACATTTTAGTAAACACGTCCCACCTGTGCCGTAAATACGGCACATCATCCAATTAACTTGATGTATCAGTGTCCGTGTCAGTGTTAAGTGACGCCATCTACTTTGGATTTTAGATTAGCTTGGGAAGAAGACCTAGGTATAGAGATAAAAGGAAAAGC